TGGGAAGTTCTAACCAAACAGGTACTACAAACTTCATCAAATAAGTTTCACAGTAATGTTGAAAACACTTCGACTGGTCTACTTAACTTGTCACTGAAGACGGATCTGCGTAACTATTTAATTAAAAGGACCTACGTTTGCTTACGTTATCTATTGAGGTATATCTAAAGTAAGTGGAAAATTGCCCACCCGATATAACAACGAAAGCTTCAATAGTTGGCCTCAATGGAGAACTAAGGCAATGAAGTTCGTTCCATCAGACCGAATCACTCTTTTCTGGATGAAGTACAAAACCTTCTTGAGTTTCTCGTAATAAGTTACATTAAAACACAAACTATGCGCCTAAACTAATCGGTTCTAGTTTAAGAGCAAAAATTAATTACGCCAGAATGACAAAACAGCCCAAACAGTGCAGCCTATATTTTGTATTAAAGTGTTGCAGTATCACAAAATATCGTATTGAGTGTTTGATTCCTGGTAATCAATGCGAATATTTCAGATGGTATGGGTCATGTATCTGCCTATCTAGACAGTAAAAAAAAACAATCATCGACCGACCCAAGCAGTAACTCTGAGTTTAGCCAAACATAGCCTTATTGCCAATGACCTCGTGAAATATAACAACAAAATGAGACAAAAATGTGGAACTTATCCAAATTCAAATAAAAAAGACAAAGCGAAGACTTGGGGACATGAAAAATGCTTGGAAGAGTCTTGAGTAAAAGTTAATGCAGAAAATAAAACTAAGTAGTAAAGAAATGGCAACAATGTCTAATAAAACACGTTGAAGAGTTTTTTCAGCTTATTCTTTTTACTACATCTGCACTTGACAACTCACTGAAGTCACAGCTTAGTTTATGCAAAACACATTGAGTTCATGTTAAGTTTTTTTGTTAGAAGTTAATAAATGTGAAACAAGAATAGTGCTATCTGATGATATAAAAAGTGAAGTATAGAATGAATATATGTAATGAAATAACACTATGTAGATGGACATGACCTGGTGGAATTGTATCGCTTGTGAACAGCATAGCCAAACTATTGCAACAAGGGAATAAAAGAACCGAAGGGATAACGTCACTATAATGACTTATGTGAAGTAGTCAAAATGTCCAGGACACTAATTACCCAATACTGTACGATTGTTATTATAATGATCCCACTCAAATCTTCGGGGCACATCCCAGCGCGTTAGTGTAAACAGAAGTGTTCTGAGGAATTAATTGCTAAGAGTCATTGTTACATATAATTATAGTAGTATGTGCATAGTAACATTTGATTGGTGTGGATGTGGGGCAAACTAGTGATTTTAGATATTACACATATATTCACAAGCAATACTCCAACTCCACCAGCTGTACGGGCTAGTACTGTAAAATGTAACTGCGCGTATTGTATTCTGTGAACAGACAAGTGAATTCGGTGGTTTTCATATGCATAAATCCCATCTGTCTCAGGGTATTCATCTTATTCAAACATCCTACAGGTGCGAGCACCTCCCCTTATGATAAATTCTCTTAAAAACTTCACACAGACAAAAAGTGCCCACCAGAATTATCTAATTCTTTCTTGGGAAGTGTCATTATTTGACAGTAACCTATTTCAATACATCGCATTAGGTGTTGACATTGCGGTATGTTGAATCAATATTAAACCAAAAAGAATTAAACGATTTCTCAGCATGCTATCGCTCTTTCTGTTCCGTATAAATATCAAAAACAAGGTTTACCGTTAGTGTACATCGCAATTCATCTTTAAATAGATCGACTTGAAAAAAGTCAATATGTGATTGGGTGCTAACTAATTGTGTTTAGAGTTTCCTAGAGCACCGACCTGGAATTAGAACATACATATAAGTGTCTTACAAAGAATTAGTGCCGGAGAGTTGCTGATTCTCCAGAGAGCATTACAATTAGCTTAAAATTGACAGATCAAGACATATGTATCTATTCATAACACTGTCCTGCCATATATAAATTACTAGAACTATTTTAAGATAATGAATGACTCCCAATCCATACGGCCTACTACATTTTGATGGTTTTGCCCGTCTTGTTTGCTTGGCCGTAACCGTTAAAACAATTTGAACAGTTAAATAAATGAAGCCGATACACCATCTCACAAGTTATTTGATAACTGTCACTGTCCAAATAAAAGGATGAATCTGGAAAATATTAAAGAGAATAGCGCAAGTTCTTTTACAAGCCTGTCATTCGAAGTGAGTGGCATCTCTGTTACCATCATCGCTGACTCGCAAAATGCCAGCCATTTCGTATGACGTAATTTCATGATATGTGAATAAACAAAATAATGGCCATTAAAACGTTTGTTCATAGTATTTACGGCTCCCAAGAACTAAACCAAAACCAGTAACAAAGCTGAAATACGAAGAAGCAAACGATGACAATATTCTATCATATGTTTTCACTGCTGTAGCCAACACTCATCGGATCATGATGAAAATAAACTTTCGACAAAGTGGACGAACTTTCTATGACAATCACAGCTAACAGCTCATCTAATATTCCACGATTTCGCTAAAGCCTTTGGCGTAAGACTACATGTACTGCTCATGGAAAAGGTGTTAAACATGGGTTTTAACGACCAACGTTTATCTTGGCTCCAAAACTACCAAGAAAACAGAATGTCTCGCATCGAGGTGAACAGAAACTCTACCTGTAGATTTTCTAGAGTTACTGCCGGTCCCAAGCTCACAAATAGAGTGAGGGATGGACATATGGTCCGCATCCCCATCCAGCAGAAAAAATCTTACTAAAAAACGCCAACCAGAATAAATAAATTAAACCATTAGAACCCTGTCTTCTGAAGTGAAACAAGAGTTATGACGCCTCGGGATGAAAGCCGAAATTGTTTGAAAGTCACGAGGCTGATGCCCCTTCGAACTACTACAGCAACAATTTCTGTGGGTACATGAAACAGCCGGACAACATGAGAGACCGATAGGACCAGTGAAATAGTAACGGAAATGAGAAGATACAAATTGACAGTACTCAAAATCAGCGAAACCCATTGGACCCAAGCTGGACAGCAAAGGCTAGATACAGGATAGATGCTGCTGTATTCCGGTCATGAAGAGGAAAATGCTCCACACACTCAGGAAGTTGCTTTGATGCTGTCCAAAGAAGCACGAAATGTACTCACGGATCCATGGTCATCAAAGCAACCTTCAAAACGAAGGAGGGGATCATGATGAATGTTATCCAATGTCATGCACCCACCAATGATAGCAACGACGACAATAAATATAAGTTCTATGAGAGGCTGCAATCAGTCACAGCGAAGTGCCCAACCAAGGAAAAGACCTGATCATTCTGATGAGAGACCTAAATGCCAAAACCGGAATGGGCAACACCGGGTATGGAGATATCATGGGAAGATATGGACTGACTTGGAAAAAGGAATGAGAATGGTAAGAGATTCGCAACCTTGTGTGTATTTAACGAAACGGTTGTAGGTGGTACAATATTCCATCATCAACACATACACAAAGTTAAATGGGTCTTACTGGATCACACTACACAGAAACAGAGCGGTCACATTTACATCAACGAAACATTGAGAAGATCCATGGACGACGTGAGAACCAGGAGAGGAGCTGAAATAGCTTCATATCACCACCTAGAAAACAGCATTGTAAGGGTTAATTACAGCTTCCTTCGACATACTGACAAACTCAACGAATTCGAGATCGCTCACAACCATATGTTCCAAGGCTTACAATATATTCTGAAAGGAAAATAATAATACGGAGGACAATGGAAGATGATCGAAGAGTCACCAAGTTCAACGTCCTAGGGTGCACTAGGCCGCAAGAAGCACTACCATAAGGAATGGGTCTCCATGTAGAACTTGGACAAGTTTCAAGAAGGGCGGAACAAAAGGACGGCAATCAACAACGTCTTAACAAGAACAGAGAAAGTCAGGGCACAAGCTGAATACACAAAAGCAAACAAGCAAGTGAAGAGGAGTGCTTGAGCTGACAGGCAGAAGAGTTAGCGACGACTGCGGAAGAAACTGCGAGAGAAGGAAATGAGACAACTATATGACATAACGAAGGAGCTAACAGTGAAATATAATAATTCGTTTATTTACTTATCTATAAGTGACTTACATTAAACCGTTAAACGTCAGAAGTGCATTTGTTATACTCCTTGGGATGTGACAAAAGGCATATTTCTTATTAACTTTCAGCGCAACGCTCAATTTATTCGAAACTATCAAGACCAATATTGGCATTGATATCTATGTGCTAATATCATTGTCAAATATCAGTAGCTACTTTCTAGCATGTTTCTTATCATCCGGTTTCTCCCTTCATTATTACATTTCGGCCTTTTTACTCCGTCCATCTTACCGATTATTCAACTCATTCGTTGATAATTTCTTGAATCAACCATTCTCTCTTGATAGCCGAAATTTTTTTCACTATTGTTTACTTTACAAGACAACTTCCTGTCTAGTAATGTGAAAGTTAACGGTATCCAGGATCACTACTGCCTTGAGACAGACGCCCATAAATTACAAGATATGATAACTGCGAAATCGACCATAATCATCTCGGTTGAGTGGCGAGACTATCACGAATTCAACATTACCAAGTACCTGGAATCGTAAAGGAACAACAAGTGAGCGAAAAGAAATCAATCGGTTAGTACAGGCCTGTCACAGAGATGCTCTTTATCAAGTATTTATACTATGCTAGACTTCAACAACTTCAGCAGTTCTACAAAATGAGCGAAATAGAACACAGGACGAAATACAATGCAATGATGATGGAAGTACACCGTTGATGTACGGTTCTGAATGATTACAAGGATAAAGTGAGCATGCTATGCAACTGCGCTTTGCAGAAAATCTGCGTGTGAAGTTGAACAGAACCTCATACCCAATAAAGAAGGTCTAAAAATGAAATAAAGTCATGACAATATGAATAAAGACGAAAAACTATCCTCAAGTTGAATTTATACTGACCGGACAAAACTTGTTTGGTCAGCTCCAGAAATACCCAGGTTATACCCTAAAGGAGCAAAGATTATGAAAAGCTCAACAGTTTAGGTGTGAAAGTGTTTATTATTGTGCGTCAATTAAAAGCAAATTTAGGTGGTAAATTATCCCGTTGAGCTTTTGAGAAGAACGCTACAGTGTCAAGGTTTTATGGTTTTGTATCCTTTTCCTAGGTACGTTGTTTTCTATGGAAGTCTGCAATGCGTCATGATTGTGAAAATCTAAAGGATAGAAGTATATGAGAATAGACGAGCTAATAGCTCAGGATACGCATAAGAAACACTTATGTTTAATCCCGATCAAGCTTAATGTAAATAAAGGCGATTTTCTAGGATTTTAGGCAATATCCTGTAGTGAAATTTCATGTAAAATTTTGTCAACATGCAACAATTTTTTCATCCTATTCCTTTTTCTCGGATAAATAACGAGATTTCCACCTTAACTAATTTCTCGAAATTCGTACCTTTAGCATAAATTTTCTCCAGATTTCTTTTTACCGAGGAGCTTTCCTAGCACAGTCGTGATTGCAATGAAACATTAAATCCCTTCAACCCGTAACTTCATTCACTCAAAGTCTTTCTAGGTTTAACTGTTTAAGATATAGTATATTGACGACTGAGGAACCTATCAGCCTTTTCGAGAACGCTGCTTAGTTACAAAAGAATTGGCAGCAAAAAGCAATATTATAACAATCAGGTTATCTCTGTGATCGTAACCAACCTTTACATGCCCAATCACTTTTTAGTAAAAGGAAGTTTAAGTTTTGCAGGTTAGGAGTCGGGGTAGTGTTGTGAGTTAGGACTATCACTCCTTAGAGTTTTTATTATATTATACTTTAAACGAATATTCTGTAGTATTTAGAGATGACACTCATGAAGCCAAACAGGGTAGTACTTGAAATTAGGTTTTGATAGAGAGTGCCTTAGAATATTGGTATGGATTCTCATCATTGATAGCCTTCTGGGGGATTCCTTTGTTGAAACGTAAAATTTATTAAAATAGGTCAGGAAAACAAAATCAGGATGTAATTATGTCACATAAAAATAAGATTATACAGAATGTCCTTGTGATTCTAATCCCCTTTCGAAACATCTAATAAGAGTATGTTTGTCATTTTGTCAGAGTTACACTCAACTAAAACATCACGCAACCTGATATTTAATTATTTTTAAGGTAGCGAAAACTGGGTGTGGGTCTTGGAAAATACATACGCTACGTGTGATCAAGATACTTATCTCCCGTTACTTTTTCAGCGTCGTTCTTTCGATGATCTATATATTGATAGGCTATTAGGGAGTTTAAAGTTTCAAAATCTCGGTGTCTGAAGTATAGTATCCAATGGCATTTTACTCTTCCTGAACCGCCTAGAAGTTATGTGTTTAAAATACGAGGGAAACTAGTGTTTTTCTATAAAAGAATCTGTTCTACCACTTAGGTCTTTATTTTTATCTAGATTTTGTCTTTCACTATGTAGATCGCCAAATTCTGTCCAGTATTAAGATCTAATACCTGGATCCCAATGTACGGAGGAATTTGAATAGACATTATCCCCAACATAACGCTACAATAGACTTATCAGTAAGCTACATCTAACATGCAGTTTGCTTCAGTACATGTATCTGAAGCCCTTATGTATATAATTATAATATAAATTCACTACACTTATTTTTCCTTGAAGAAATACAACTTAGGTACGCCCTCGCTAGCATACTTAGCGCCTTCCTAACACCAAGTTTTACCTCGCTTTCAGCCTGAAGCACTTTGTGTGACTGTTAACATCTTACCCTTTGTCGACTACTGATGCTAGCTCAAACCAGCCTCCAACTAGTAAAGGAATTAAAACGCTCCCAACAAAGCAAATTACCTCCTTATGGTGAAGATAAAATCCGAATTTGTTTGGAAGAAATGCGAGTACTATATGATGCAAATCATCGTGATGTAGCCCTTGTATCTAACTCGTCGTCTGGGCCATCATCATCATTATATGAAACAGATGATCATAGTAATAAAATTCAATCTGTTTTAGTCAGACATGCTATCTTGGAACGTAATAAACGTTGTCTTCTTGCCTATCACCATGCTAGATTAATGCGGATCAAAGAACTACGGTGGGAATATGGTATCATTTTACCTAAAGGTAATAGTAATTTCGTTATACTACGCTATTTTTTGTAACTTATCACTTTGAAGTAGTTTTTTGTACACAAAATGTCATAAGTTCATACTTGTTAGTACCTCTGCACATAACCCTTTCTAATACAGAAATGAAACAACAGAAGTATCCCTTTAGACCTAAAGCTACTATAACGTTATGATTTAATTTGGATAATTGATAATATAACTGCTGGAACCGGATGTGTGTACGGATTCCGTTAGTGTATTTTCTGCAGTCCCAAAGCTAGTCAGTATTATCAGGGTTCATGTAGTAAACAATTCCTGGTCTATCGTCATGCTTAGTATACACTGGAACTCTGTAACGAAGTACGAATCTATGTACTCGCTTTTGGATTACAATTTGTGAGACTGGAGAGCATACATACTTCCTGATTTCCCAAATCTAATTGAGACATTTAAAACCTGAAATTTGTTAGGATGTAGGATACTAGCAGTTTAATCATTGAGTTAAAATCGCAACAATATCTGAGTGTTTAAACCATTGTAATTGAACGGAACGTAGATTATATTTGAAATCAACAATTCCCTACCGAAAAGAGACCTCTATCCCACCAACGAAAAAGTTTTCTGTCCAGCTCTATTTACATTGATGTGAGATTCAGTAACAACGCATCAGTAATATGTAAATAAAGTTGTTTGAATGACTGCAGTTTTCTATTTAATAAACTACCCGTCTGGATAATGCACTTTTTCCTCAAAGCAAGAAATATTTTAAACTCATCATCCTCAGTCAAAATACGTGAAGTGAGCTGACAAAATATTGATTAGTCATGTACATTAAGATGTTGTACGGTTGATTAATAACAACTCAACTTGTACAGAGAGTTTTCTTTTCAGAAATTTAAAACAATTAGTTCATTTGATAAGTTTCGACAAGGCAAAGAGAAAACGAAGGTTACGAGGATTATGTGATATATTTGCACAATACATTTCGAACAATCTGAATCACACATACTTGCTAAGACATTCTTATATGAAAACTATAAGGTCAACTAAACAGATTAATAATAAGCCGTAACAAAGAAAAATAAAGTACACAAAAACACTGTGATAACCACGCTGAATAATAAATCAGTATTACTAGGGTAGGTTAAGGGTAAGAACAAATTGTTTTTTTGGAAGACATGAAGGGGATTTCAGTTTCCGTATAGCCAAGGTTTCAATGAACCTTAGTATACGTCCTTGAAGGTACATTGATAGTATTGGACCTATGAATTTTTAGTTATCCATATAAACTGGGGTACACCAAACTTATAGGTCTTAATAAATTAAACTCATCTTTATTAATAGAATTCATGTTTGACAATTTAACATCTAGTCCCATCAATATGTCGGTCACGTACGCACAACCTTGCAAAATGGTTTATAGAAGTATTAAACGCTATCCGAAATCAATTTTGTAAGTATTCTTTGATTGACTAATGTGGATTAATTAAGTACTTAATGGATATGAATGTAAAAACAAAGACAATGATCTCCTTTAATGTGAACATTTTATTTACAAATGTACCTCTTAGAAAAACTATTGATATTTTGTGTGACTATATCTCATTGAATAACCTTCCATTGCCATTTCCTGTGAAAACTCAAACATTTACAATTATTGTGAACTGATAATGTGAAATTCACTTTTAAGGGTGAGCACTTTCGACAAATCGATGGTGTAGCTATGGGTAGCTTTTTGGGACGGTTTCTCGCTGATGTATTTATGGGATGTGTTGAAAATCTAGCTGAAGACTCAATTCAAAAGGTGTGTCTGTATAAAAGGTACGTTGATGACATCATAATCATAGGGGGTAAATATGAACTGTTTTTACAAACGCCTTCAAGGACGTATACTAAGGTTCATTGAAACCTTGGCTATACGGAAACTGGAATCCCCTTCATGTCTTCCAAAAAAACAATTTGTTCTTACACTTAACCTACCCTAGTAATACTGATTTATTATCCAGCGTGGTTATCACATCGTTTTTGTGTACTTTATTTTTCTTTGTTACGACTTATCATTAATCTGTCTAGTTGACCCTATAGTTTTCATATAAGAATGTCTTAGCAAGTATGTGTGATTCAGATTGTTCGAAATGTATTGTGCAAATATATCACATAATCCTCGTAACCTTTGTCTTCTCATTGCATTTTCGAAATGGCTCAAACTCCATTCAACTCTATTTCTAGCTATAACATTACGTTGCTCGAGACAGTGGTTAGTTGAAACGCATTTTAGGAATATTGGACTTCCACTTTATCTAAAAGACCCGTCCAATATTCATGTTAGTCTCAAGGTAGGTTTGTCATAATTCTATGTATTCACCTCTAAGTTTTGAATAATGGACATTTGATCTGGACAATCAAAATTCCTTACATATAAACATTATCCTTGATTTCCTTCATCAATATGTACAATACATCTTTTAAACTTAGATATCCGTGATAATTTATCGGAAGCGGAACAAGCATGGTTTAAACACTATTGTAGTTGTTTGGCAAACTTCATGCAGGCTGATGGATCGGAACGTGGAGGCGGTGGAATGCTAGATTTAACACAATATCGTACACCACCAAAATCATTATTTCTAGAAGTCCGTTGTCTTCAAGATTTTGGCGAATTCGAAACAGAGGATGGCAGTATTTTACATTTAACAAAAGGTAGTCATCATTTAATGCATCGAACCGATTGTGAGGCTTTAATTCGTCAAGGTATTCTTGAACATATAGCAGAGTGAAATGAAACTGTCATGTGCAATTATTATAATGTCCTAAAAAGGGAATTATACTGTATATATTTAAATTTGTCATGTTATTATTTTCATACGGAAGATTTTAAACAATAAAACACCAAGGAATGGGTTACACAAAACACAATGACATCATTGTGATCATTTGGATGAGGAAAAACTGTATGACCCGTCATTACATTTATAAAAACGGGTACGGTATGTGAAGCTATGAAAACTGAGTAATACCACAGACAAGACAGATTTCATAATACTGTTTATAAAGAATACAGTAGGAAACTACATCCAAGTCGCTTGTATTCTGAGTAGTCTAGAGACTACTTGTGTCACTGAGTTTCATGACCTTCAGTTTGCTTTTACTAATAATGTGGGATCATGAAACAAAAATCGCCAGAAGTCTGTTAGCATAAATCCGACATATAAAATATGCGTCTTAATAGGGGTGGTTTTGATGTCTGTTTCTCCCAACTTAAATTTTTATTGTTGATTGCTACTGTTGGATAAAGTTATCTTAACGCCATCTTGGTTTAGTTCTAATGTATCAGAAGGGGTTTTGTGGATATTATGGTAATCTTAATACTTGAGATCGTGAGTCAATTGAAACTAGGTCACCATGGAAAACCTGAAAGTAATGGGTAGCCGTTTGATCACGATGTGATTTCTAAATTGAATAAACGGATACTATGGTGATATGCGAAGATGGATAATGGCTAGCAGCGGAATCCAGGACGCGTGTTTCGCCCTGTTTGGGACTCGTCAGCTAGATGTACCTGCACCTTAGAATTGATGTTCACTCTGAGGCTCGAACTCAATACCGTTCGCTTCAAACGTCATCGCGTTATCCACTTAGCTATTGAGTCCTGATAGCCACTATGGTGAATTATATTTTCAAACCAATCAGTATCCTATGATTTAGTTCATTTAGATCTTTGAAATTTTGTTTGTGGCATTAGATTATTTTAGTTTAGCCTTTATGAAGCCTCCCATATTGGTTGTACAAACTTATAAATCTTCAGTGATACTTTCAACATCAAAATGATCTCTGGTCGTTAAGTGTAATGGCAAAATAAAGTTAGTACTTCAAAACTACCAAGGCTGAGTATCTTATTTCCGAATTATACTACTTAAAACTTTCCAAGTAGTTAATCAAGTCTACTCCGTATTTATTTATTTTGACAGATATTAGTACAAAGGGGCACCGAATACATATGTGCCACACAAATCTCATTTGATGTGTGAGGGCCCGGGTGCCCAAACCGAAGCAGGTGGTTTTCTTAGGGGGCCACACCCGGAGCCTTCGACCTGAAGGTCTGATCCAAAAGGCAGTGGAGCATCGTAAGGAGATGCAGTCCCATGGTAGACGGTGACCAACGATTGGTTAGTACGCCCTTTGTTTCCTCAGGATACTGGAGCCCATGTGCACCATTGGTTTGGAATGAGGGTTTTCCAACTCCCCTATGTGGACTCTCTATGTCCACTAACCCGGTTAGAGCGCCGGACATTCGTTTTTCGTCCTTTCAAGTCCGTAAACAACACCCCTGCCACGAGAAGGCAGTGAGTAGGACTTCCCTGGCAGAGGCTATATACGCGCGGCCATGTGAGAGCATTTCGAGAAGGAGAGAGGACTTCCCCTACTCTGGGCCGTACCAGGGCATTTGGGGGAAACAATATAGTATACGCATTTTCTCGTAGTTTGTTCATTAAGAATTGCATTAGATTACGTAGATTGTTATTTATTAGTTAGCTGATAAGTAAGTAGTTCGAGCCATTAGAATCCGCATGCTTAACTCTTGCTATGTGGTCTAAAATAATAATAACTGACAGTATTCACTTTTAAAGGTAAGTTTCTATGGTATTAGTGAGAATCATTGTTAATATTGTTTGTCAAATATTAGATTTAAACAGAATGAAGATTACGCAATACCTGGAATATTTATGTTTAGTGGAAATCATTTAAGGTTTCATACTCGCATGAATTTTCATCGTATGCAGTTAGTTGGAAAATCTTAAGGAGCTCTTCCTAGTCGATTTTATTCAAAATGGTTATGTGAAAAAAAGTAACACAGTGATGCCCATAAACGAAAATTGACAAGTTAAATATTGTTTAGTTATGACTCATTGGTCCTACAATATATAAGATAGCTTTGAATTAAAAACGGATTAAATCTATCATTAATCGGATACTCTAGGTTTGTCTCAGCAAGTATTCATGGGCTTATTCCTCATTATAAATGAATGTCTTGCATTTATACACAACTTCTTAACCAACATCCACTCACTTATCGATTTTGGTTATCCAAGTTTTCAAATACTTTTGTGTCATTATTTTGCATATAAACGCGTTGTATTATTAGATAAAAAAATCTATTCCCCTGGCTAGTGGCTTTACTTTTGATATCAGTTCATTCTAAGGTTTCAGTCAATAAACCAGTATTGAGAGTACCCATTAACATTTCAAGCATCTGTATCCATGTAGACACTCTAATCTTATACAAAGAGAATACTATAGTTCTATTTATAGAATGGTGATCTACAGTGCTGAAAATAATCTTTACTAAATATATTTGCATAACCAATCATTCGACTACTCATCGAATTGCATTCGTTTTCTCAGGTTTGTTATAATAGACCCACTGAAAGCTGTTCATTGACCTTCGTAACAGCAGGAAGCACCTGACTATTATTTGATTACACTAAAAACCAGAATGATGTTAAGCACTTGGACATTATGACTATCAACTGTAACGCATTAATAAAGCGATCGATAAAAGTTAGTCAAAATAAAAGAGCATTGTTTTTTTAAAAAATCGAATAGGTATGTCAAATCAACATCATTCAGTCGTCATGACAGTAAACATTGATTTCAAAATTGACTTAAAAACTAAGTTGATAGTGCTTTGGTCAACATTTAGAAATAGACAGTATGATGTGGATTATTTGATACTAATGAATAAATTCGGAAAATTAATTCGTCCATTAAGAGAAGGCACTTATACGTACCATAAACTGGTAATTTCGAATTACATTCTGTAGGATGATTTTGTTGTTGAAAATAACAAAATTTGTAGCAAAAGTGAAGTAAACAATATAAAAGACTGGACGTAATGCTCTCTACTTGTGAACTATCATTTCATAATGCTCTGCTCACAAAATAAGACATTTCATGATTTCGTGTGATACTAATAAGTACGGATAAATAAATAACACTGCTCAAAAAATCCTCTTTTTGGAGACCCAGAGTGCCGTTGCAGCCCTATAATAAACTACACTACCAAATAATATGTTGAGCCCAAATAAGTGTTATCACAAACCAACAGGAACTGGAAAACCAAAAGCGAAGACCTCGTAAATTGGAGCACCATATCAGTGCACGCCGACGGCATTCAAATCGTTGGGACTTAGTGCGGAAACCGGAGAGGTGAGTGGCTACCAAAAGGGGTCATGATGTGAAAGTCATGTGAGGCTAGCGTCTGTCATCTCTTCAGGACTCCTCACTTAATGTCCTAGAGGTCGCACAGCTCTAACTTGAAGCGCTATCAGATGTAGTTCAAAACATAAGCCAATAGTAATTCTGCTACAATATTCTTCCGTATTTTTCATAAGGACGTGAGAAACCCAACTGAAAAAAACCTTTTATTGACTATTTCTCACTGGATTTCATGTTATTAAATACTGTTCTTTTTCATTCATTTATAGATTGTACAATCTCTCTCCCTTCTTGTTCATAATATTGTCATTTAATTTGTGTGGAGCATACCTTTCCAGCTACCTACCATACCAAACTTTTCAGGTCAACAAGAAAATACGACGAACTACTGGGTCAGGTGCACACTTTCCTATTTTATCAATTTATGAAACAGCATCATCTTCATGCATTACATGTGCCTAACCACCGTATACCTCAGGAGGCGATGATATATGGTGGATGAGTAGGCTATCAGAAAACTAGAATAACCCAAATCAGAACGTGCCATTAATCCATAGAGTCATTGACAGCTGAAATGAGTTAATGTAAGGTGTAGATCAATCAGTCAGGATCCATACGATGATTGGAACTAGTGATTGACTGTCCGATGACATGGCACAAATGTATTCACTTTCATAAGAAGAAGTTTTTCTCTGAAATTAGGCTTTTACATTATTATTTGTTTAACAAAAACAGAGAGACGAGAATAAAATACAAGATTATAAGAATACAATGATAAAAGAGACAATTTAAAAAGTAACAAAAAGTAAAACTTGATATCACAAAGTTATTTAAATCTATTAGATATGTAGTTTCCAAGTGAGAATATCATCGTTTTAGTAGAATATCAATGTCCTTAAACAACTACCATAGTGATATACCATTTACCTAACTTGCCTCAATAGAAATATGCTTATGAGTATAATATTGAAATGAATGAAGATTATAATAATCGGAAAGCTTTGATGATCTCAATCATTTTAATGACAAAAACTAAATGAAATGACATAATAAAATAAGTGATATTTTACGGAGAGAGGGATAGAGAAATAATACTTCGATAAAATGATCGCTTATGTATTGGTATAATGACTTATATGTAAACTGTAATCTTACATACTGCTTCACATTCTTCTTTGGTTAAAAAATTATTTTCATTTGCATTACAACCACCATAGATGAATTCTTCACAGATTGTTTTTTGTGGATTCCAACCCCAACGATGAAATTTTGCACGACATTTACCAGTTAATCTTGGTAATAAACAAATTGGATTTAGTGAATCGTGCACTAAATAAATGTGAAGAGATAATGAGGAAATAATAATTAGGGAATGGAAATCAAGATAGACATGAAAAGGAACAGAAGTATTTGATTATCAGGCTTTCCTTTCTTACTGTTATAGACTTATGCAACAAATTGACAAGGGTGTGTTTTTAAAAAAAAAGGGATAGTTAGGAATCAGACGAAATTTCACAGTTTAGTGGCTTGTTGATTTTCACGATTTCATAAACTACCTTGTATTAAACCCATAAACCTTTTAATTAAAAATTACAGAACATTGTGAATTAGGGAAAACCACAACACTTTTAACATTTAAATAGATGAAATTCATATTCGAATATTCCTAACAATCAAGTCAACGGGATATCCATACTTGACCTTTGCTTTTTCGAAGTGAGCTCTCCAAGGAATTCCTGTTGTGAATTTTTGATATGAAGTAAAATTCCTCCTCTTACTAGATCATGTGTTCAAACATATTCTCCATAAAGTACCAAGCTCCTATCAGACCTTAAAGTTGGTACTTAATATGAATAAGCGGTTTTCTGAATACATATACAACAGATGATGGCTGTTATCTGTTCCTTGGGTTGAGTGGCGAAGATATAGGTTGGTTTAGCCTACAGACTTAAGCTACAATTACATATGAACACCTGATCTTCTAAAATCCAGGAAACCTAACTTTTACCCCATAAGAGGTGCAGTGAGTGAGGAGATAGCAAGAAACAACAAAGGGGAAGTGTATATCCTTTTTTACCTTACCATTTGATGAGGCTGAGCTCACGCTATTATGGATAGAACTCCGTTCAGAAAGAGCTTATTTGTCTTTTGAATCTATGGGTATACTTACATCAGCACAATCACGAAATTTGATGTCAAGTCTTTAGATATACTACATCTCCACATTAGTTGGATGGGGTTTGATGAATGACCACTGCAAGATATTGTATCTCAGTTTGATAGACAAAGTATCCATTATGGCACAAGATCAGTTTTAGCTGATAAATCCTGTTGCTCGATTCGAAATATGGTTCGGATACTAAATGCTGTAACATGTAGTTTGGGATATTGGCGTGCTAACTATTTATCAGATACATATCCAAGAATTCAGTTGTCCGACTTTACCCACAATCTTCAGATTAATTGCTTTTGGTCAGACCACTATCTTATCAAACTGACTGGGATGATAGAACACGAAATGTTCCAACAAATCCAGCTTGACTAGTTCTTCATGACAGGCAAGCTTGAACTCAACATCAGGGTAGTGGCTAGGGTTTCGACATAAAATAATATTACATGCGAGCTCTAGGATTCGAAGGGAATGGATCGTGTATTGAAAGGTCCTGCCAATTTTTTGTCAAGAAAATCGTATTCTTCACAACGTTCCACTTTGTGAGAGATGCGAAACAGTGAATAGCTTAGAAGATGGTTCAACGTGGAAAGCATGTGAATATCA